AGACTTTAGAGGTTGATTTGATTGGTTACTTTAACAAGTTTTGAGCTTCCACATTTTATTGTTATTTGGAGTTGAATTATTGATATATGTTGGGGTTTAAGTTCCTTGGTTCGCCCACTTAGGAGGTTAAGTGTGGGTGCCACTCACGACTAGTTTTGGATCGTGACAATTATTCTTGTGAAATCACAACATATAAGTTGCATATAACAATATGATCATACTTCAAAGTATATTACAAACATTAAAATGTAATTGATTCTCAAAAAAGTTTTGAGAAAAAAGATTAGCATTTCATTTAAACACGAATAGAAAGCATAATGAAACATAAACTCATTTATTGCCATTATTATTATTATTGATACACAAATTACAACAAAAATTCCCAATAAAGATGTACGAGGGGAAAAGTGAACACATAATCAAAGTTTACAATTTTTTAAAATAAATTTAGTCGTTTCAAAATCAATTTTGAATACACGAAATTAACGTAAGATTTTAAATATTAGTAAACATATGCATATAAAATTTGGTTTATCAAAACCAAACTTCAGATACATTTGAAGTTAGATTTGCCAAAAGTATAATATCAGACAATTTCGAAGTGAAAAGTATCATATTTATCGTTGTACGCTCACAAATAAGTCATATTTGACACGTTTACTTGGATCGTTGAACCGAGCTGATGGATCACTTGGGTTCAACCCAGTACATTCGAGTTACGATTTGGGCCCAAATTTAATGGGCTATCTACTGACATTACCAGGCTAATGAACGTCAAATATAGGAATGGGCCATTGGCCCATTGAATTTGGGCTTTGATAAAAGCCCATGCATTGTGATCCAAAAGGCCCATTACATAAAGCTCTTCATTTTCTTCTTCTCATCGGGCATCGTAGCACGATAAGTTATAGTAAAGGTACAATTTAAATTGTAAATTTAGATATAATTTAATTAATAAAAAGTACAGTTAATTGTGTTTTCAAAGATTGTTTATGAAAAGATAGTCACTTTTTGATACGTAAACATCATGGTACTATCATAATTTTTGATCTGAAACAAGTGAAAAATCTAAGACACTATCAAGATATTTTAAAGAGAGAAATTTAGGTTTAGCAAACATAAAAATTATATTAGCGGTCTACAACTATAATTTTGCTATTTGCGCTCCATAACTATGTTTGCTATGGAGCATCAGATTTGTATGAAATCGCAGACAACTTTAATTTGCATAAAATCGCAGGCGTCTGATTTGTATAAATAGCAGCGATTTGTATAAATCGGACATCTGTGTCTATGAAAATTGCGTTTGTATATGTATATGTTCTTTGTGTTTGTATATCTGCATAAAATTTGAATTCGTATACAACTGAATCGAGTTAAAACAGTTGTATTTGTATAGCAAATCTCTCTTTCTCTCTCGCTTTATACAAACGCAAATTATACATTGTATTTTGTATAATTTGTGTTTGTATAAAGCGAGAAAGAGAGCAAGGCAAAAGAGAACTGGGCAAGGGAAGATTTGTATTTTATAATTATAAGTGTATAGGACGAAGAGATATGTATTTGTATTTGTATTTGTTATACAATTTTCCTCGCTTTATACAAACACAAACACAATTTTTACATTTGTGTTTGTATAAAGTGAGAGAGATGCAAGGGAGAGTGGCGAGCGAGATTTCTGAGGAGAGAGGCGAATGACAAAGTGTTTGTTGTGGATATAATTAAATGAAACTGTGATTATAACATTTAATTTGAATTAATAGTTTGCTATTTTATACAATTTTCCCTATTTTAAATCCATGACTGTGTTTTACAAATTTTAAAAATTAACAATTTTCAATGACTTTTGAATATGTCACTATTTCTCAATTACAAGTATGAAAAAAAATCATTTTTATTTTAGTAAATTATAAACTAAATCAAAACCAAACCCCAATAATTCAAGAAGATAGTAAAGAATAGAAAGTGGAATGTGTGATGCCCATATTAGAGTGAGTGATTGGATATATCACTCTCTTCTAATGACTAATAATGCCTTGCATTTTGGCTTTATTGCAACTCCAACACATTTTAACATATAAGTTTGAGACATAAAAGCTTATCCACAATTACAACATAGAAAAACATTCTCAGATGGTTGCAACTGTTCAGGTTTGATGATGCATAAAACTTTACTTCACCACTAATCATTACAAAGCACTTCAATTATTTGTATGATTCTATGTGGTGGCGGATTTAGAATTTTCACTAAGCGGATTATTGAAATAGAAAAATGTAGTGCTTGGAGATTTGAAATCTCAAGGTCAATTTTTTCTCTAAACCACTAAGTCCACCTTTATTCTTATGTTCAACAGTTCAAGGAATTCAATATCTATACAATACAATAAAAGAAAAAACATATAATCAATGCTATATATATTGTTTTAGTTGACATCATCATACAAATATTATAATTGTATAAAGAAAATGGAGTTACCTTTTCTTGCTGATGTAATATCCCCTCTTTTTCTTATGTCTTTTTATTGGGACATTTGTATTCATGTAAGTTAATTAATTAACTTAATTTCTTCTCAAAATATTGTAGCTTCACAAATCAAATCAAACATTAATCAAAGTTTTTTAATTTCACACTTGTTTCTTTTATATATGTGACTTAATACCCATGTAGTGTATTGAGAATGAATTAAGGTTGAAATATGTGTTAAAAAAGTTGAGTTCAATTCATTAATTAGAGAAATTATTTGTTTTGATCAATTTTCTAGTAAAATATTTTTCGGATTTTCAAATATTAGAAACATATTCTATCATAATAAACAATTAAAATCAAAGGCATTTTCTAATCCTTAGCAAACATTTGTACTATATGTCTCCTTAACAAATCAAAGTGCTAGACGTTAATAATAATAATAGTAATAATGATTTCCTAACCAAAATTTAGTTATACTATATTTGAGACTTCAATTATATGCTTATCATATATGATATACTTGCAATAGCTTATTATGAAAGGAATTTTTTCCATCATAATGTTCCACGTAACAAACTCGTTCTATTTGTGAATGGAATATATTAAAATCCTCAAAATCTCACCATGAATGCTATCATGTGTAATCCTCAAATCTCACCATCATGATATCACGCGTGCTTGTTCTATTCGTGAACGTGATATATTAAAAATCCTCAATCATAACTATAAATGCTATCAGGTGGGCTTGTTTTATTCGTGATCACGATAAATTAGAATCCTCAAACATCACTATGAATGCTATCACGTGTGCTCGTTCTATTCGTAAACGTGATATATTAGAATCGTCAAACATCACCACGAAAATTGTCACGTGTCACTACTTTAATCAGTTAGTGTACCAATTATAACAACATGATTATACTTCAAAGTATATTACAAACATTAAAATGAAATTGATTCTCAATAAAGTTTAGAGACAAAAGATTAGCATATCATTTAAACACAAATAGAAAGCATAATGAAACATAAACTCAGTTATTACCATTATTATTATTGATAGAAAAATTACAACAAAAATTCCCAATAAAGATGCACGAGTAGAAAAGTGAACACATAATCAAAGTTTACAATTAAAAAAAATAAATTTAGTCGTTTCAAAATCAATTTTGAATACACGAAATTAATGTAAAATTTTAAAGTAGTAAACATATGCATATAAAATTTGGTTTATGAAAGCCAAACTTTAGATACTAAATTTAAAGTTAGATTTGCCAAAAGTCACATAGTAGACAATTTCGAAGTGAAAATTGTCATATATTTTTCGTTATACTCTCACAAATAAGTTATATTTGACACGTTTACTTTGGATCGTCGAACTGAGCGGACCCATGGATCACTTGGGTTCAACCCAATATATTGGACTTACAATTTGGGCCCAAACTCAATGGGCTAATCCACTGACATTACCAGGCTAACGGACGTCAAATGTATGAACGAGCCATTGGCCCATTGATTTTAGGCTTTGCTAGGCCCATTACACGATAAGCATTACATAAAGCTCTTCATTTTCTTTTTCTTCTACTCATCGGGCATTAGTCGGATACATCACTTTACGTGATGTACCGGGACGTACACGATGTATCGGTATGTTACTTTATGCAATGTAACAGTCGGATACATCACTTTATGCGATATATTGGTCGGATACATTACTTTACGCGATGTATAGGGATGTTGAGAGATGTATTCAAAACCAAAAAGCAATGTATCAGGATATTGAGGGATGTATCGAGACGTTTTGGGATGTATCCGGATTCCACCTAATTTAAGGGATCTTTGTAATTTGAAAAAGAGTAGGGATATGATGTAATTAGCTCTTAACACTATGAGATTTGTGTAAAATAACCTTATAGGCTTTCCGTTATAAAATTGTACGGACAAGCCACTTTTCAGATAGATATTTGAAAAATGGTTAGTGTCCAAATATTTACTTTAAAAATAGCCACTGTTTGATCCGTAAACACTATAATACCATCATAAATTTCAAATTTAAACAAGTGAAAAATCTACGATAATGTGTCATGACTAGGGGTGTACAAAATCGAACCGAAAATCGAATCGAAAACCGAAATCAAACCGCAAACTGAGAAAAAAACCCGACTAGTGATTGGTTTGACTTAGTTTGGTATTGAGAAAAAAATCCGACTATTTTTGGGTTGGTTTGGTTTTAACTAAACAAACCAACCCGACATTATATATATAATTTTAAAATTTTATTTTATACATAAAAATATTTACATTGATATAATTTTTAAATATTTCTTATACTTTTTCATAGTTTTTCTCTTTTAATATATTATTTCAAGTTTGAACTTAGAATTCTGAATGGTTCAATAAAGATTCACTACAAGAAAAAGGCTTTTTAGAGACCAACATTTAGGGAGAAGTTAAAAATTTGGTCCCTAAAAGTATCCTTATAGGGACGACTTTTCCTTCTCGTCTCTTTATTTTTTGTTGCAGCGAAGACATTAAATCTAGTCTCTATAGTAATTAATAACTGGTCCCGAAAATAGAATTTAGTGGGTCAAAAGGCACCACTCCTCACTAAATTAAAATATACTTGTCTTTCTTTTTGGGACTTAGTAAAATCCCTAAACCCTAATCTGCTCACCTTCAAGTTGCCCCACATTGAATACACCTCTTCTTCTTCATCTCCATCGACTAAAGTTGCTTCTTCCAACATCACCAACCTGAAAATTCTTTGATAACACAAAATTAATAAACCAATGAAGCTAATTTCCTTCCCGTCATGAGTAACCCACCTTCAAGTGATGCTCTTTCGATTTGACGAAGAAGATTACAGTTGGGCTCTGCAACAACTGTAATAATCAAGGAAATGGGGTAATTTTCTATTTCAGTGATTTGATGATATTAGATTTATGAAATTCAATTATCAATTTCGTAGTTTTTTTCAGATTCCTCTTATCTCGTTTTGAATACCTATTGAGTTCTTTTCTAATTTCAGATTCCGCTTTTCTCATTTTGAATACTCAATTGAGTCACACTATTGGTACTTATTTTCCTTTGTATATATGTGTTGGCTGCTCAAGGGGTGTGGTAAGAGAAAGTAACAAATCATATTATATAATATATTGTGTTCTTCTTGTATTGTACTGATTGCTCTGTATGTTTGTGAATTACATAAAAAATTGTTATATATTACCCACTCTTTCAATCGAAGCTCAATCCTAGCAGGGCTATCCTTTCTATTTTTCATGCCCTCTCAAATTTCCAAGGTTAACTGTGAAAACGTGTCTGAAACCATATATTCATGATTAACTTTGTTTTTTGGTTCTTTTACTTGATATTTAAACTCAAGTTCTTCTCTTTTGATACTTTCAATAATAATGAATTCTCTAAAGCTGTGAAATATTTCTAATTCTATGAACATTCACTATTACTATCAACTATCCCACAGAGATTTCAAAATAGTGGATACCATCAGGAAGTTGTACATATTGATGTAGTTAGTTTTGAAAGTGAACTTCAATTGCTTGAATTCTTACTTCTTTTATCTGATTTTCAGGTATTTTCTTCACTTGATATCCTTATGGCGATATTTAATCTACTAAATTTTGACTTTTGCTTGTTTTGTTATTATTTTTATAGTTTGCTTCAAATTCTATATGTACGACGCCGAATTAGTTCTATATGTGTTTTTTGGTTGAAAATATACGTTGTTGGCTATGAAAGTTACCTATTTTAAAGAGAGAGAAAAAACTTTTTTGGTTGTGTAATTATTTCTTCTCCAAAAGAAGTTGTCCACT